AAACTTTCTTCACTCTCTGTGGTCCTTCCAGGACAGTCCGGGACTCGTTTCACTCTTGATGCATGGATCCAGGCTTGAGAATCGACTGTCAGCACTGCTGTTCTGGTCACTACTGTCACCACAGCAGGTTCACCAAAGGGTGAATCAATGGTCTTGTGCCTGTGTAGCTCCTTCACAACCACACAGTTTCCTGGTTTAAAGGAATGGGTGGGTCCATCTGTTGGGAGAGGAAACGAGAGAGAGACATCGGTCTATAAACTATTCAACACCCTAATCAATTCTTGCATATTTTTCCTGGTAAAGTTCCAAATCCCTGGCATAACTATCAATGGTCCCCTAGTCCATGGGGTAGGGAATGGCTTACCCATTAGTATTGCAAAGGGTGATAACTTGGTGGTCTTGTTAGATGTCATTCTAATCTCTGCTAGTATCGCAGGTAAATAAATTTCCCAATTTTAAATGTCCCACCAGTCGCTTTCCTCAGCTTGTCCTTTAATGTCTTATTCATTCTTTCAACCTGAGCAGAGCTTTGGGATTGGTAAGGTATATGAAATTTCCAGTCAATAACCATTAATTGTAGGGGTGCACCGAAATTTTGGTGGCCGAAATGTTTTGGCCGAAAACACCCCTATTCTCTGTTGGTCGATATGATAATAAGCACCGATACAGATGCCGAAAATAACCCCGCCCCCTCGCCACTGCCGCCCCTTGCCACCACTGGCCTGCCCGCCGCTGCCGCCCCTCGCCATTCCCTGCCCGCCACTGCTGCTATCCGCCGCCGCTCGGTAGTTCTCAGCCTCACCTGAGAAACCACTGAACGATCCCGAAGCTGGGCATAGAGATAAGTGAAGGAAAGATGGCCTCCACTCATCTCTATGCCCTTGGAGGACCGGAACGATGTTACTTCCAGTTTCGGCACCTTGTAAACAAGGCTTTTTTTTTTATTTAAAGCACAAGATCAATGTTTTTTTTTATCTAATGCTTTACATTGTAGAGGAGATATGGGGTCTTATTGACCCCATATCTCTCCATAAAGAGGACCTATCACTAATTATTTCTATAACAGGGGATGCGTGCATTCCTTGTGATAGGAATAAATGTGATTACATTTATTTTTAAAGTATCAGTGTAAGAAAATAAAAAACGTAGTGGTGAACGCAAACATAGGCCACACCCACATATGTAAACGGTGTTCAAACCACACATGTGAGGTATCTCCACGAATCTGAGAGCAAGAGCAATAATTCTAGTACTAGTCCTCCTCTGTAACTTTACACTGCTAACCTGTAGAAATTTTTAAACCGTCACTCGTGGAGATTTTTTAAGTACTGTAGTTTAATATGCTCAGCTGGGGATACCACAATGTATAAGCCTTTGATACTTTGAAATAATCCTGTTATCTGCCCTTTTAAATAAGGATGTATCAAAATATATTGTCATTATCTTTTTGGAGAGTAAAGATGTATAAGGAATGCAGATTGTGTATTATCAGACATTGTGTCATGGATTATGTCCTTTAACCCCCCTGGCGGTATTCCCGAGTGTAGCTCGGGTAAAGTTTCAGTACCACAAGCGGTAACCCCGAGCTACACTCGGGCTTACCATGCGGCGCTGCTCTGCGATCCCTTGATTACTTACCTTTTCTTGCGCTCCCGCGATGTCCCTCCTGCAGTGTCCCGGCAATGTAATCCGGCGGATGCCAACATCTGTCATCTGGGTTCCGTCCCCTGCAAGCGTCGGGACGTACGGGGGACGGAACGGCGGGAAATTTGAAAATGACAAAAAGTGACATTCACTAAAATCACATAGTTAAAACATTACTGTATCAAAGCATTTCACATACATTTTGTCCCGAGTGCTTTGTCCTGTGCCCTGCCTGCATTTTTACCATTCTTTCTGCCTGGAAACTGAGAAACGTCCATGGCGTCCAAAAAGCGTCCCTTTAGGTCAAATGCGGTTTTAGACCAGCTAGAGAACAGCGATAGTAAATTAGAACCACTTGCAGAATTGAGTGATAATGATTCGTGGGGAAATTCGTTATCAGACACTGAAAATGATTTTGTGACTTGCCGCTATATTTCAAATTTCAGTGTTTTTGGTTTGATTATATTATTGAAATAAATGTATTATTATTATTATATTATTATTCTTTATGATTATTTATTAATATATAATTTATGATTTTGTGTTTAAAGTTTTATCCTACCCGGAATGTTTACTAGACTCTTGTTCGGGCAGATTTCAGTGAGTTATTCCTAAAAATCACAGGCCTACAATAAAAAAAATACATATTTCCATGCAAAAAATGTACCGCATTGAGCACAGAAATATGGACATAATCAGACCGCTAGGGAGGTTAATGTTGATTAGTTTCTTTTAAAACTAAAAAGAACAATAAAAGTATGTTTTTATGATTTTATATTGTGTACTTGGTTGCCTTCAAAATCCCAGTAAGAGGGTAATTTAACTGCTTCCCAACCGCCCTATAGCAGATATACTGCTACAGGGTGGCTCGGGTGCACAAAATCGCGGTTGTGGCTGTCAATCACCGGGTCCCAGGCGGTGATTAATCTCAGGCGCCCAGTGATTGACGAGCATCTCCGATGGGAGAACTGTATGTAAACAATACAGTTCTCTCCCCTGTCAGCTCGGGCACACTGCTTTGGATGGCTGTGCACAGCACAGCCATCCAAAGCAGTGTGAATACAGTGAAGCACAGACAGAAGTAAAACAGCACACAGTTAATCATTTGATTGCCCCTTATGTTAACCCCTTCCTGTCCAGTGCCATTACTCCAGTGTCAGTGCTTTTTGCTACTGTTGCCATTAGTCCAGTGTCAGTGACACCAAGTCAGTTCCCCCCAGTGTCAGAATGCCCGCTGCAGTCCCATTATAAGTCGCTGATTAAAAAAACAATTACAGTATTCATACCGCCATTTGTAAACGCTAAAACTTTCATGAAAACCATTTAATTTACACGTATTGGGATTTATTTTTAGCAAAGACATGTAGCAGAATACATTTTGCCCTAAATTTATGATGAAATTGGATTTTTTTTTTTAAATTTTTTTACTGGACATGTTTAATATCAAACAGTAAAAAATACTGTTTTTCTCTCAAAATTGTCGGTCTTTTTTTTTTATAGTGCAATAGGCGATCAAATACCGAAAGAAAGCTCAATTCGCGAGAAAAAAAGGACATGCATTTAATTTGGGTGCAGCTTTGCATGACTGCGCAATTGTCAGCTAAAATAACACAGTGCCATATGGCAAGAAAATGGCTTGGCCAGGAAGGGGAGTAAGTCCTCAGGAGGGCAAATGGTTCATTGGTATACTTGCATAATAGTCCCTTCTGGCCTGTATTTAGCAGCATGGATGGGATGTGTGGCTGAGACTTTCTCGCTCTCTCTCTCCACTTCCTCTTTCCAGGATTTGAAAATCCAACAACCCAGGGACAGGAAGTGCAAATACATAATTATACATAACACTGTAATATTAACAACTAACAGTAGAGGGCAGCAGATCCCTACACAGTCATACATATAGATAACTAGGGAGGAATATTTCTTCATAACCAGACTCAGTCACATGGTACTGCTTCTGGATATGAACATTGTCTATGTTCTTCTATCAGGAGCCTGTGAGTAAGTGAATGTATATACAGGTGTACCTCGGTTTACAAACACCTCGGTTTACGAATGAAAATCCATTGAAAGTAAAGCCTCGGTTTATGAATTTTTTATGAATTTTTTTCACAATACAAAGTGTATGTCGGTGCTGATTTTTAAATGCAATTGCCAGCTTTTTTTATTTCTTCACTATAGCTCACATAATTAGCTGTTGCTTTCCCCGGAGTTAAAGGAAACTTTGTTTCTTTTAAGAAACTAAAAAAGGAAATATTGTTTTTTTAACTTGGGAAAATAAACTAAAAGGAAACTTTGTTTCTTTTAGCTGGGGGGGGGGGAAGTGACAGCTGATTCTCTGAGCTATAGTGAAGGGAAAAAAAGCGGTAATTACCTTAAATAAACATAATTAAAAAACCGTTGTGGGGCCCGCCCCCACCCCCCCCCCATCCATACCAAAAGGAAGATCCAACGTGAATCACGCATGTGACCCCACCCCAGGTGACATCAATGATATCACATGGGGCAGGGTCACTGAGTGATGTCCCAGGATGGCCCTGCCCCTCACACATTTAAGAAACTGTCAAACCACTGAAGCAGACATATGGCCGGGGGCCATCGTCGGGAGCTGAGCCTTTTTTTTTTCGGGTCGGTGGCGGACATAGTGATTGACGTTGGGTCTACTGTGGGGGACATCTTTGATTCATTCTTTTAATAAAGGACTTGTCAAAGACCGTGTCCTGTCTTTTTTCGCACTACACTTTTTGTTTTTTTGAGAATGAGTAGGGTTACCATGTACCCCATACTCATTCACATGGGGGGGTGGGCAGGATCTGGGGGCCCCCTTTAACAAGGGGCTTCTAGATTCCAATAAGCCCCCTGCCCGCAGACCCCCACCACCACCAGTCAGGGTTGTGAGAAGAGGCCCTTGTCAACATGGGGACAAGGTGCTTTGGAGTGGAGCTTGGACAAGGGTCTGGTATATATTTTGGGGGGGACCCCCTGGCCATTTTTGTTAACATTTTGGCATGGGAGTTCCCCTCAAAATCCATACCAGACCCGTAGGGCTTGGTATGGATAGGAGGGGGGAACCCCACATCGTTGTTTCATTTATTATGGTGCCAGTTTTTAACCACTAGCCTACAGGGCACTTATACCCCCTTCCTGCCCAGGCCAATTTCCAGCTTTCAGCGCTGTCACACTTTGAATGACAATTGCGCGGTCATGCAACACTGTACCCATATGAAATTTTTATCTTTTTTTTGAGACAGATAGAGCTTTCTTTTGGTTGTATTTAATCACCTCTGGGATTTTTATTTTTTTCTTAAACAAACCAAAACCACTGAAAATTAAAAAAAAAAGTTTTTTCTTAGTTTTTGTTATACAATTTTGTAAATAAGTGATTTTTCTCCTTCACTGATGTGCGCTAATGAGGCTGCACTGATGGGCACTGATAGGCTGCACTGATGGACACTGATAGGTGGCACTGATGGGCACTGATGAGGAGGCACTGGTAGGTTGCACTGATGGGCATTGACAGGCATCACTGATGGGCACTGAAAGGCAGCACTGATACATGACACAGATATATGGCACTGATAGGCAGCACTGACTGGCACTGTTAGGCGGCACTGACTGGCACTGTTAGGCGGCACTGACAGGTGACAATGACTGGCACTGATAGGCGGCACTGATGCGCACTGATAGGCGACACTGACTGGCACTGATAGGTGGCACTGATTGGCATTGATAGGTGGCACTGACTGGCACTGATGGGTGACATTGAAAGGCAGCTCAGATGGACACTGATATGTGGCATTGATGTGGCACTGGCACGTGGCACTGACAGGTGGCACTGATGGACACTGACAGGTGGCACTTCTGGGGTCACACTGATCATCAGGGCACACTGACCATCAGTGCCCTGATGATCAGTGTACATGTCCCCTCCGCGGAAAGCCAATTACCGGCTCTCCTCTCGAGCTGTCAGCTCGAGAGGAGAGCAATGCCGATAACCGGCATTTCCGTGTTTACATGTGATCAGCTGTGATTGGATACAGCTGATCACATGACCGAGCCGATATCTTTGGCTCTTTCCATGATCCGCTGTGTCCTAGGGACACAGCGCACCAGCGAACGCCGCGCTGCGCACTCCCTGAGCCGCGCATGCGCGGTGAGAATAGAAGGACATCATATGATGTCCTATCAGAACGAGAGAACCACCTTGCGCCTGTCATTGTACTATATGGCGGGCGGAAGGTGGTTAAATGTTTTCTTTTTTTTTCTTTCTTCACTATAGCTCAGAGATTCAGCTGTCACTTTCCCCCGAGCTAAAAGAAATAAAGTTTCTTTTTAGATTATTTCCCAGAGTTAAGAGAAACAATGTTTCCTTTTATTTTCTTTAAAAAAAGTTTCCTTTAACTCCAGGAAAGTGACAGCTAATTCTGTGAGCTATAGTGAAAAGAAAAACGGCAATTGCAATTAAAAATTGGCACAACATACAATTGCAAAAAAAATTTGTAAACCGGGGTATTATTTTCAATGGATTTTCATTCGTAAACCAAAAATGACGTTAACCGAGGCGTTTGTAAACCGAGGCACACCTGTAGTTCCTCCCATTCAGCTCACTGTACCATGCAGCCACATCTCTACCTTACTTTTCCACACTCCCTCTCACTCACACAACTTGTCTGACAGAAGCTGAAGACAGAGCCCAGCCAACACGTCACCCTATTGGACAGCACACCTGACAGTCACTCCCGTCAGGCGCCAAAAAGACACTCCATTGGTCAGCACACCTATCAATCACTTCCATAAGCCACTAATATCCCACCCCCAACCTGTGCGGGTTGACTGTCCTGTGGTGACGAGGACAACACTAATGCCCGCCCCCCGGTCTCGGATTGTCAGCGGATTCCGCCAATCACACACAGACACATGCACGTCGCGCCCCGCCTTTATTTGGCATCAACCATTCTCTGACCTACAGAGGGGTCCCGGCACGATAGTTCACACACAGCGGCGGTATTTCATATTTCCTGGGCTGTAGTATAATAAAATGACTGGAAAGAACTTATAATCTTTGTATTCCGTCTATCTGTTGTCTGAACATGTGGTTCCCTGTTTAATAAAGCTTTATTCTCTCTCGGTGTCCCCCCCCTTTCCGCCCAGTCTACGTGTCCTCCCCGGCGAGCACCGGAAATAGTGTGCGGAGGGGGCGGGGGACGCTGTGAGGGGGAGCGGACAACATGGCAGCGAGTGAGTAGCTGAGTGTGTGGGGGATTCAATGAATTGGGTTGTTGTGTATGGAGTGTGAGCGGCCTGCTGCTGCTGTACTACAAGTCCCAGCATTCCCTGCAGGCTGGTAGTGGTGAGAGGCTACTGGAGTTCCTGCACTGGGCAGTCTTCTCCCGGTGTCACCCTCCTATAGAGACAAATACAGGGCAGGCGGAGCTCCCTGAGAGGCAGTCATTGGAGGGACAAGGCCTGGTGCCCTGACAGACAAGGGGCACAGACCGACCGACATTGGATCTCACCACAGCTGTAGATGTGAACAGGTCATGCAGGGATGGCTCCTATATACATAATTACACTGCTCCAGCTTGGAATAATGTCACTATGTATATACTGCGTGCCAGGGCTGCTGTTAGAAACCACGGGGCCCCATACACCAAACCTGACAGGGCTCCACCCCCCCAAAAAAAAAACAGTTTACTATACTTAATTTATGAATGAACACAATGAGTGATTGGTACAGATCACTCGTGTTCATTCAGGAAAGGAAGGGGCTGGTAAATAGGACATATTTACCAGACCCTTCCCCCACTCTGTGTCCTGAAGGATCCTAATGTGTGCTTGTGGCTGCCAGAGGGAAGCTAGCAGCACTGTGGGGGTGGGGGGCCTGGGCATCAGGGGGAAACGTATGGTGCACAGGGAGGGTGATGGGTGCAGCGGGGGCAATTACTGGAGCCGATCCCCTGTATGGTTCTCTCTGTAGTAGCTGACAGCCAGCAGGAGGGAGAGGAGAAGAAGCCACCCTCTCTGCCCACATCTGATTCAGCCAGCTGCCTGGACCCCATACAGGAGGAGTGGTGGTACCCCCTTATCCACGACCCTGCTGCATGCAATGCACACCGCTACTCCAGTGATCTCCGCTCTCTTCTGGATCTGGGACCGAGTGGCTGGCATGCTGCATTCTGAACACAGGAGGTCGGCCAGTTGGCACAGGCGCCATTCACAGAGCACTTTACATAGTTTTCATAACTACAGAACACTCTGATAGGACGAAGTAGAGCGCCTGATGTCACCATCCTGCTTCTCCACCTTCTCTCATCATTGAACGCTTTCCATTCATTCAGAAAAAAAATACAAAGCTTTTCTCTGAATGGCGGCGTGCCAAAAGGCCGACCTCCTGTGTTCACAATGCAGCAGGCTAGCCCGCTCTGGGCACCAGATCCAGAAGCTGGAGTAGCAGTGTCTACTTAAAGCGGACCAATACTCGGCTCCGGCAGTGCGGTGTTTCTAAGCTCTCCACCCAGCCGCTGTCATCTTTGGGCGGATGGCTTCCGAGTCTTTTATGCTAGCCGATGTCATTGGCCGGGCAGGAATGACTTTACTCCTGCGAATGCACGGCAGTTCAGCCAAATTCAGCATTGCCACATATGTACAGTGGGCAGCATGTGCATAACTCACTGTACAAGGGTGCACAGGCAGGTAAGGTCGGACATACACGGGTCGAATTCTGAAAAAAATTTCAAAAACCTTTTCTAAGAATTTTTGTTCAAATTGTGCACCATAAGTGGGCCAAAGCAATGGCCGATTTCTGCGTGACCATCGAATTTGAGTGATGGGCCATGTTGGATTTTTTTTTTTAAAAGTGAATGAATTTCTAATCAATGATGGGAGAATCGTGTGAGAAATGTAATTTGAAAAAAGAGATGAGCGTGAGCTGGGACCTGGAAAGAAAAAATTCCTGGCTACAAAAATTCTTTTCTGTAGCAACATGAGGTAAAATTAAAGGCTTGGTTGGTTGAAATTTGAAATCAATGGTGACACAATCGGATTACAAAATGCATGAAAGTTCCGATTTTATAAAGAAAATATAAAATAAGTATGCAGCGCTAATATAAGTATAATCCAGTTACGAAGCAAATAAATAAATGAATAATGCACAATAACATATATTAAATATGTTAGATAACTCAGTCCTTATAGTAAAGTGATTAAGTGCAGGTGTTCTTAAAAGTCCATAATCAAGAATAAACGTGACTCTTGTGTTGTTGTGAATGTACAAACAATGCACTAACCAGATAGCGCATTAGTTGCGCATGGAGCAATTAAGACCTGCTCCAGGTGCTCTGGACTTGTGATACCAGGCAGATGTCATCAGCAAGTCGGCCACTAGATGTCGTCAGTCTAGGTGTAGTCTTAAGCATTCCACCAGGGCCATCATCAGCAGGAGGAGGGGAGTCATATATACATCCAAATCCTCAGGAACCTTCAAAAACGGGCTCACGTGGAAATAATGAGCCCCAAGAAAGCTTCTAATAGTGTAGTAGGTCTTTAATGGTCAAAATTCCAGTATAAACAGAAAGATAAAAACTTACATCCAGATCTGATATATCAACCAATCAGAATGGCATTGCGGTATATGTAGACAGGTCAGGGGCACCTCCCTGAGGCATTTTGTGTCAAAGGAGGAAGTGTTTTGACACGAAACGCGTCAGAGGGTGCCCCTGACCTGTGTACATATACCGCAAGGCCATCCTGATTGGTTGATATATCAGATCTGGATGTAAGTTTTTATCTTTCTGTTTATACTGGAATTTTGACCATTAAAGACCTACTACACTATTAGAAGCTTTCTTGGGGCTCATTATTTCCACGTGAGCCCGTTTTTGAAGGTTCCTGAGGATTTGGATGTATATATGACTCCCCTCCTCCTGCTGATGATGGCCCTGGTGGAATGCTTAAGACTACACCTAGACTGACGACATCTAGTGGCCGACTTGCTGATGACATCTGCCTGGTATCACAAGTCCAGAGCACCTGGAGCAGGTCTTAATTGCTCCATGCGCAACTAATGCGCTATCTGGTTAGTGCATTGTTTGTACATTCACAACAACACAAGAGTCACGTTTATTCTTGATTATGGACTTTTGGAACACCTGCACTTAATCACTTTACTATAAGGACTGAGTTATCTAACATATTTAATATATGTTATTGTGCATTATTCATTTATTTATTTGCTTCATAACTGGATTATACTTATATTAGCGCTGCATACTTATTTTATATTTTCATACTGGGTTTTAAAGGTTGCCTTTATGCTAGCGGCTTTATATTACACTATTGTATAATTTTATTATTGTTTCCAGCGCTCAATTACTACTTTTTCAATATTTTATAAGGAAAATACTTTCGGAACTCGACCCATGTATGACCTGTAGTGTAGCAGTGAATTGCGCTGGCTGCTCTGCGATTTCACAGAGTGTCAGTGTTTATTTGCCCTTAGATCCTTCACACAGGCGTTCTGTCCGTTTTTTCATCCTTCTGTTAAAAACAGTAATTTTTCTAAAATTACATTTTGGCCCAAACTACTCATTTACTTCACTAACAGTTTCAGCAGCTGTGTGCATTGTATAAACTGTATGTAGTGTACATCGCTGTGATGTCATGCTCTTCATCGCAGCGCCGTCCCACTGCCAGAACACAGCACTGTTTGCTCAATTCACTAAAGCAGATCACGTGGTATTTTAGGTGATCTGAGACATTTTTTTCCTAATACTGCATGTGATGCTGAAAATGTAAGTTCACTCTCCCTTTCTGTGGTATTTACCTCCATAAGCAAAAATGCTCAGTAAATATCGCATAAAACGGCATAACAGTCAATTCCCTAAAGGAAATAAATGTATGCCATAAATAAGAAGTGGTCCAGGCAT